ATGCGGGCACCGGGATGGGCACAGGGAGATGGGACAGACCGGGACACAGCAGGGATAGAGGGACAGACACAGGGATGCGGGACACGGACAAGGAGACAGCAGGGACAGACACGGGGACTTGGAATACAAAGACATAGCACGGACAGATGGATGTGGGACAAAGAACACAGCAGAGACATGGGGATGTGGGATACAGGTAAGAGCACAGCATGTACACAGGGTCGGACACAGGGATGTGGGATACAGGTAAGAGCACAGCATGGACACAGGGTCAGATACAGGGATATGGGACACAGGGATGTGGGATACAGATAGGAGCACAGCGTGGACACAGGGACAGACACGGGGATGTGGAGCACCTAAGAGCACAGCATGTATAGAGTCAGAGGGACGTGGGACACAGACAAGGACAGAGCAGGGTCAGGAGGACACACAGGGACATAGACCAGAACACAGCAGGGACAGCAGCACCAACCAGGGGCCTGGGCAGGCAGCAGCAGGACCAGGCACTGAGGCTGTGGCAGGCACTGGGGCAGTGCTGCCCCTCTCCAGCTGTGGGTCAGGGGTGTCTGACCGTGGGGCTGTTGCTGCAGAGTGGATCGAGCGCCAGCAGGCCAAGAACAAGTACTACTACTACCACCAGAAGTTCCGCCGCGTGCCCGACCTGAGCGAGTGTCTGGAGGGAGACTACCTCTGCTACTATGAGGCCGAAGCGCAGTGGAGGAGGGACAGGTATGGCTGTCACTGCCCTGGTTGTCACCTCCGGGAGCTGCAGCGCTTGGCTTGAACTCACAGCCTTGCCATGGACGTTGGGGTGTTGAGGCAGCACCTCCTGCCCACTCCCTTACAGAACACCCCTTTCATAGTGCTGTTGTCCCCCGCAGCACCCCCGAGCCATGAGAACACATCCTCCCATGCTGCCTGGTTCCTACAGCTGATCTTCACAACGCATCACCCCCTGTTGGCTGTTCTATCACCTCTTGGCTGGGGTTGCACTCATCTGTCTTCCCCACAGGATGGTTGATCAGGAAATCGTGGAGATTGTCCGGGAAAGGCTCGGTGCGTGCAAGCAGAGGGAGGGACCCAACCAGTTCCAGAACTGTGCCAAGGAGGCAGAGCTGCTGGTGCAGGTCACCAAGGCCTACCAGGACAGATGTGAGTATGGCAGCAGCGTGCAGTGGCACACGGGGAACAGGGGCTCATTCCCTTCTAGCTGCTGAGAGCCACGCTTCACACATGGCCTTTCTTTCTAGATGGTGATCTTGGTGTCCATGGGAACTCGAGGACATGCCTGATGAAGCAGAAGCACAGGATGATGGAGGAAAGGAAAGAAAAAGCCAGTGCCTCTGAGTAGGTGTGAATGGTTCACAGGTCCTTCTGTGGTGCATGCTGCATCGTTCAGCTCTGATACTGTTGACCTCTACAATAAACGTGCAGAACAGCACATCTGCCATACTACTGGAATCTCGACTCATTCTTTGACAGGATCCAAAAACCCTTAAGAGAACTGACCCTGCATTCAGCTCCACTGAAACAGGAGCATCTTTGCATTCCAGCTGATCATTACCATCCTCCGAACCATGGTCAGTCCCCTCCCTGGCTGCCTTACCTGAGATTTCCTGCTGGACCCCTCCCCACTTCCTACCCCAAACCCCAGCAGATATTTCATCCATCCACCCAGAGCATTCACCATCCCATCAAACCAGTTGCAATTTCTCGTTCACTGATCAATTTATTGTCTTGCTCCAAACCCACTTAAGTGGTTGCCACAGCAGCTGCCTGGGTTCTCTGCACAGACACTCTGGTGTGGGTCTTCGCCAGGTGATCAGTGAACTCCTGCAAAGAAACAATCAAAACAGTGGTTTTATTTCCTTAAACCATGCTCAGGGGTTTCTCAGCACCAAATCCCCTCCCAGCAGTCGTCTGTCTGAGGCCTGGGGTACTCTGCATACAAGTTATTTCAACGTTTCAAGGCTTTCCTATTTCCTTCATCCATGAAATGACCTGGCAGTCAGTTCTGACACACTACTTTGTCGTTGTTAAACTGTGAATCCTTCGGGAACAGCATGTGAACTTTAAAGGGCAGGATTTGGGCTGTGAAGTGCAGAATCACTCTTACCTGGTAAGGAGACTTGGTGAACACGGTCTCTTTCCAGAGGTCAGGAGTCAGGTAACTGTAGGTCTTGGAGATGGCATCGAAGGTGGCTTTAGCTATGGACAGAAGTGAAACATTGCTCATTGCTGCCACGGAAACCAGCTCACTGCGCCCACCCCACTGCTCCAAAGGTGTAGAATATAGCATGGAACAGGGAGACCACAGCAGGGTCTCTCTGATGTACACACACAACTCAGGTTTCTTTCTCTCGCCATATACGACAATTACACTACTTCAACCAAGTGCAATCGCGCAGATTGGGAGATGTTTTGGTATCAGTGTACACACAAATAGACAAATTCTTGTAATTAACTTTTACACGACTTCAGGATCATCTGCAGCAGGATGAACCTGCACTCTAAGAGGTATCAGCAGCCTTTCCTTCTGCTTCACTGTTAGGAAGGGAGTCAATGCACACTGAACTCTGAGATGGGTACAGTGTGTCCCCGCCAGTGGCAGAGATGACAACACACACGGCCAGGACAAGGACAAAGCTGAAGCTCACCGAAGTTGCCGAGGGTGGCCGTGCAGCCCCTGGCCGAGGTGTAGCAGTCATCAATCCCAGCCATCATCAGCAGCTTCTTGGGGACAGGCGCAGACACGATCCCTGTGCCACGGGGAGCCGGGATCAGACGCACCAGGACAGATCCACACCGGCCAGTGACCTACACAAACACACCAGGTCATGGCTCCCAAAACACACGCTGATCACCAAGACCAGGCCCTGGAGCCCTGCTCACCTTGCAAGGCACGGTGTGGGGTTTGCCAATCTTGTTGCCCCAGTAGCCCCGTCGTACGGGCACGATGGACAGCTTAGCCAGGATGATCGCCCCACGAATAGCAGTAGCGACTTCTTTGGAGCACTTCACACCAAGACCAACATGGCCATTGTAGTCCCCGATAGCAACAAAAGCCTGGGATGGAAAGAGAGGTTTTCAGTGGTGGCTGAGCTGCACAGCCCAGTGAGGTCTTTCCCCAAGGATAACCCAAGCTGCACACTCAGCATTGAGTGGTCACAGCTCACTTGAGTGCAAATCAAACCCCAGGTGCTAAAACCTGCACAAGAGAGCTCACAGTTGAAGAAGCCCATTTCCACGCCCCACAAGAGCTCATCCTTCAGTCAACCGGAGTTCAATTCCTTACTATAGCCTCACACTGGTCAAAAATCCCACTAATTCCCAAGCAGCATTCCCTCATGACATGACACCCAAGGCTTCTCTCTCTGCCACAGCTCCAAAAACCAACACTGCTGAGCAACCACAACTTAACTTTGTGTTGTGATTGTTTTAAGTAACATGTGAACACATTATCAAGGTTTTGAAGTTTACACAGCAACTTTTTAAGCTACACAAACTGATCCCAACACCAAAATACTCACTAGCTACTACAGAAAAGAATAAAGGTATTTGAACTGATTCATTAGTTCAATACTAGAAGAGCAGCAGACAACATACATAACATAAAAGAGTAAAAAGGCCACCTTGAACCTGGTCCTCTGACCAGCACGAGTCTGCTTCTGGACTGGCATGATCTTCAAAACCTCATCCTTCAGAGAGGACCCCAGGAAGAAATCGATGATCTCAGACTCCTGCAAGAGTCAAGACACCAAATCACACAAGTCCCCACTCTCTAAGCAAACAGCACAGCTTGTAAAGCTCCTGCATTCGTGTTCAACAACACTATACACACGTATTTAAAGTAACAGCTACTCAAGTATGTAAAGGTCTGGAGGCACGAGCCGAGTGCAGCTCCTGTGCAGTCCAACACATAAGTTAAAGCTTTGTTTTCCCATCACTGAGCAGAACTATTGCAGAAGCACCTGAGCAACGTGCTGCCACCCCACACAAGGCAGAACAAAGACCAGCACCACCACGCTTCACTGCAAGCGACCACACCAGCCCTCAGCAGCTTTCCACTCGGGTCATTAGCCCAAACACGCATCACTTGAGCAGCCTAACAACACACACAGCACCCACTGCGGGCTCTGTAGCTCAGGCAAGGCTTTACCACGCATCACTGCGGTGCCCATGGAAGCTTACCTTGATCGGAAGCGAGAAGAGGTAGATCTCCTCGAGAGACTTGATCTTCATATCCTTGACCAGGCGACCAAGCTTGGTGACAGGGATCCACTAACAAGTAAGCCCATGGAAAAGGGTCACCGGCGGCGGCAG